ACTACTACTACCCGTACTACTACTACTACTACTACTACTACTACTACTACTACTACTACTACTACTACTACTACTACTACTACTACTACTGCTACTACTACTACTACTACTACTACTACTACTACTACTACTACTACTACTACTACTACTACTACTACTTACTACTACATACTACTACTTACTACTACTACTAATACTACTACTACTAATACCACTACTACTACTACTACTGCTACTACTACCACTAGTACGACTACTGCTGCTACTGCTACTACTACTGCTACGACTACTACTACTACTACTACTACTACTACTACTACTACGACTACTACTACTACTTTACAACAAATAGTATGGCTACTATTGCACCTGCTTCTACTGATGCTGCTACTACTACGGCTACCACTACTACTACTACTACTACTACTACTACTACTACTAACGACGACGACACGACGACGACGACACTACTACTACTACTACTACGACTACTACTACTACTACTACACTACTACTACTACTACTACTACGACTACGACTACTACTACTACTACTACTACTACTACTACTACTAATACTACTACTAGTACTATACTATTACGACTGCTACTACTACTACTACTACTACTACTTCTACTACTATGCTACTACTACTACTACTACTACTACTACTACTACTACTACTACTACTACTACTACTACTACTACCACTACTGCTACAACTACTACTACTACTACTACTACGACGGCTACTCCCACGGCTACTACTGTTACTACTACTACTACTACTACTACTACTTCTTCTTCTACAACGACTACTACTACTACTACTAATACTACTACTATCACTATTACTACTACTACTACTACTACTACTACTACTACTACTACTACTACTACTACTACTACTACTACTACTACTACTTACTACTACTACTACGACTACGACTACGACTACGACTACTACTACGACTACGACGACGACGACGACGACGACGACGACGACGACGACGACGACGACGACGACGACGACGACGACGACGACGACGACGACGACGACGACTACTACTACTACTACTACTACTACTACCATGACATGCATTGGCATGGAATTGATTTAAGGCTGGCCATGGCATTTGGTTGTTCCGCCCTTGGGCTTGCCTGCGTGAGGAATCCTTCACATCAGATTGTTAGGGGAGTGGCGGTTTGCGGCTTCCAGCTGAAGAGGTTGGTGGCTATCGGTTTCTGCGACCAGCTCGTCGCACCATCTACCCGAGACAGGAACAAGAACCCTCGGCCCCCTCCATCGTCCTCCACCCTCCTATCGCTCCTATTCCCTCACCCTCCTCCTCCTTCTCTCCCATTCCCCTCGCCGAACCCGTCCTCGTCCGGGGAAGGTCGTCGTTGCCGTCCCTCTGCCACGTGCAGGCGTCAAGTCGTCGGCGTCGTCGCTGCGATGGTGGCCGTCAAGGCCTCATCCTCCTCAACCTTCGCCTTCTCTGTTCGTCTCTTCTCTCATCCCTCCATCTCCTTCCCCTCTTCGCCCTCTTGGGTACTACACCCCATTCCTCCTTCATCCTCCTCCTCCTCATTGGCCATCCCCCGTCCCTCTGCCTGACCACCGTCCCCCCGCCTACATCGCAACCCTCTCCCTGGAAGGAGGTAGGCGGAGGACGAAGGGAGAGGAGGAGGCTGGGGAGGAGGCGGAAGGAGTGAGGAATACAAAGGAGGAGGAGGCGGAGGAGGAGGAGGGAGGCCGGGAGGAGATGAGGGAGGCAGGGATCAGGAAGAGGGAAGATGGATGGAGGGAGCAGGAGCACAGGAGCGAGGAGAACGACCAGCGAGGAGAAGGCGAGAGGCAGGATGGGCGCGGCGGTCTCTTGCCAGGGATGCCCGGCCCGCCGTCTCGATGTTCGTGACCTGGCAGTCGAAACATATCCTGTCGATCTTGCCGAAGAGGGTGTTCAGGAAGTCCAGGAGCTGGTCTGGCGTCCGCCGGCTCATGTGGCCCTCGAAGTCGGAGACCACCAGGAACAGCACGGACGCCTCTGGCGGGGGGGCCCGCGCTTCGCTTCCGCGCGCAGCATTCCCCCCACCTCCTCGCCGCCTCCTCCTTGCTCGTTTCCGCTCGTTCCCTCCCTCCCCCCCCCCCCTCTCCAACCTTCGGAGAGAGCGGGGGAGCGCCCAGACTCCCTCGCATTGCGAACAAAAATCACGACGGATAATTGTTCGCTCTTTTCGGCATCCTGGGGCCCTCACTGGGCCACGGGACCGTAACGACTCAGGATGAAAAGCTGGTCCCAGGGAAGGTGTCCAGACCTCTGGAGGTCGACGTTGAAAAACTCACGACGTCGTGGGTCTGGGGGGGGGGGCAGGGATTGGGGGGGACGAAGATGCATGGCGGGCGCTCTCAGAGTTTCTGCACACCAGGCCTTTGGGATCTGCTCTGCGGTAATGGCGCTCGGTTCCCTCAACATTCGTGCAATCCGCCACGGTGCCCCTTGGCAAGTTGAGGCATGGTAGAATGCCAAGAGCTATCCGGTACGGTGCTGGAAGTCTTATGATGGACACCAGCGCCTCGTCGCAACGATCAGCGGGCATGCACCGACCCCCTTCTCATTCCCAAGGTGACTGGGCGCCTCGTTGCGACCCTGGCGGTCTCCAGCGCGCCCAGGATGCCCCAGATGGCTTCCAAAAGATCCCAGGCAGGACACCGGGGGTGCCAAAGATGACCCAAGATGCCTCCATTGCGGCCCAGGTTGGCCCCAAGACGGCCCAAGATGGCCTTAAGACGGCCCAAAAGGCTCCCAAGAGGGCCTTCAAGATATCCGAAGAAGCTGTCAACGACGGCTCAAAAAGCTCCCAAGAAGACTCCACGACCCCCCAAAAGGCTGTCAAGATTGCCCAGGATGGCCTCAAGACGCCCACAGAGGCCCCCAAACTGCCCAATAGACCACACCGTGCTCCTTCAGGGCCCCCCAAAACCCGAAAACGCTTCAGAAAAGGCTCCTAGGAATCTGTTGGCGGCAGACTGCCCAAACACGCCCTAAAGCGGTCCAAGAACACCCAAGAGGCCCCCTTTATACTCTCCCCAAGAGCATCCCAACGGCCCCGAAGAGCCCCAAGATAGGATGAGCCAAAAAGAGCAAAAGCGAAATACGACGACGAGCACGACGAGAGACACCGCGTCTCGACGCAAAATGCCGCGTCACATTCCACAGCTCTTCCAAACTTCTCGGCACAAGAGGCGTTACACGTTGCGGAGCCACGTGCGCTCCTCGAGCAGTGACAACACGGAGGGCGTGGCTGGCACGGTGGCCTGGCCTTGCCACAGGCAGCCGGATGATGTGGTCTGGGAGGAAGTCCTGGAGCAGGTCGAGGAGCTTCCTGGTGGCCTGCGAATCCTGGTGGTGAAGCAAGTCCAAGTATTGCTGCTCCACGCTCATCCTGTACTTCCTGTGCGCGGCCATCACGGTGGCGGCAGTGAGCAAGACAATGGCGACCAGAATGTCCACCCAGGTGTAATACCCGAGCTCGGTCGCGTAGAGATAGGTGAAAGACGCCACGAGGTACCCCGTGACAAAGAGAACCACGAACAGCAGCATCGGCCCCAGCTCGGGCACGATGTGCGGGGACATGCACACTACGGCCATGACCATCACCGAGGACGTCAGGCCTTGTGGGCCGCAGCCGTACATGTCGGCCCGCCAGAAATCCTTGCCCGTCGCGACGGAGGGGGACGACGCGGAAGAAAACGAGAGGGGGTGGAGGAGGAGGAGGAGGAGGAAGAGGCGCATGGGGAGGAGGAGGAGGAGGAGGAGGAGGAGGAGGAGGAGGAGGAGGAGGAGGATGAGGAGGCGGGACACTGGCCGGCAGAGGAGGGCGACGGGCCAGCAACAGGAGCAGCGGAGCAACGGAAGAGGTCCCAAGGTCAACTCGGTGGCGCGGCAGGCGCGGGAAAATCTACACGGGAGACACAGAGGCAGCAACAGCAGCAGGTGCGGCGGACAGGAGGGGCAGGAGGAGGAGGAGGAGGAGGACGACGACGAGGAAGACGAGGAGGACAAGCAAGGAAGAAAAGGGAGGAGAAGGGGGAGGAGGAGAAGCACGAATGAGGATGAGTGGGCGGAAAAAAAACATCCTCGACGAACCCCAGAATAGCGGCGCGATGGCGGTAAAGGAAGGGCAGGACATGTCGGAGATGTCTCTTGTACGGGTGGCGGTTCCGGGGTCCCTGGTGTAGGGCCCCAGCCACTCTCACGAACTTGCTGCCCCAGGGTGGTGGGTGGGTTGTTCAAAATCGGCGGGGCGCCTGCACACAACGCCTGGCAGAGAAGGGGATCTATACACTTACGGTGCGCGGGGGCGCGTCCTCGATTAGCCTCAATAGCGGTGCGACGGCGGCACAAGAGGGACAAAATGTGTCGGGAGCGCCTATTTTACGGGTGGCGGTCCCAAGGGCCGCGGCGCAGGGCCCTTGCCACTCCCAGGAACTGGATGCCTCCCCGCGCGATGGGATTGAGGCACCAGGAGGGACAGGCAACCTGCTGGAGGCCTAGCAATGAGCACCAACACCAACACAAGGGGTGGTCTCCACAAGGGGAGGATGGTCCTAGATCCCGGCGTTGGTGGTAATATTTCGGTCACCCCGGCAGCCAGAATATTACCACCATCGCCGAGATCAGGGTCTTCTTCCCTCGGTGGAGGCACGCCGCCGATATTGGCGCGGGCGTCAGCCTCTAGGCCCGCGAACCTGGAGGCGAGGCGGCGGATCCCGAACCCCCCCCCCGTGGACGCTGCGAACGTGAGGGGGGCCAACCCCCTTTGCCGTGGACCCTTCCCTCGGCCTGGGCGCCCCCCACTGCCCGGCCCCGCGGGGGGGGGGGCGCCCGCCCCGGGCGAGCAACCGGGGCACGGGGGGGCGACCTGGGCCGAGGGAGGGGGGCCGCCTCGCCTCGCTCAAATGCTCGAGATTCTCACGGCACCAGCGCCTTTGCCTGCGCCGCACCACGCGCGTGCAAGAGCGTAGCGCGGGTGCGGCATCAAAACCCTGCGCGCCCTCCATGGGGCCCGCCGCGATCGAGGCACCCCTTCCGCCGTGGACCCCCCTTCTGCGCCCGCGGCGGAAGAAGGATGGGGACCTGCGAACAGCGATTGGGCCCCCGCCGTGGCGGCGCCCTCTTGAAGGCGGGGGCCCGAGACTGCGACTACCCTAACAGCGCGGCATCATCCCGCGGCCGGTCCTGCCCCGACGGGTCGCGTAAGGCCCCGACACTACTGACTCCTTTCACGATCTGGCTCCGCTTGCACGACGTCGCGGTCGGGCCCCCGTCCCCGAGGGTCGCGCGGGGCCCCGACGCTGCTCGCGCGCGTCACAACCTGGCCCAATCTGTGTGGCGATGTCCGGGACGTACCCTTGCGGAGCTGTCATCGCGGCTCTAATCGCGCACGTCGCCCGCGGCGCCCGCGGCCGCCTCCCGAGGCGGGCGCCCCCCCCCGCGACGTCGGGCCCTCTCCTCGACGATCGCGTCGAAAAGTTTCCGGGAGGGCCGCGCCATCTCGTCGAGCACGTGCCATCTCGTCGAGCACGTCGTCGAGCATGATGAATGCTGTTCTCCTGCGTCTGCCGGACATCTGCCGGACAGTTTCTGCTCGATTCTGTGTTTGTGCGGAATGTCCGCGGGCCTCTGACGAAATATCTGAAACCGCCGATCGCGTCTTATGTTTGAGGATCCCGGCGCCTCTGGGTCCAGGTCCGCGGCCGCCATGTGGATCCCGAAGGGCTCGTCGAAGTCAGTCGTCTCCACGTTGCCGTTCTGCCCCCTGGTTCCCCTCGCGCGGGGGCTATGCCATGCCCGGCGCCATCTTGCGCGACCTCAGCTCCTCCGATAGCTTGATTGATGAGGGGGGCTGTCGACGGCCACTTGGTCGACGCGGCTCTGGACGCCGCGCGCGCGCCCCGCGTTGCCAGTCGACCCCGCAACCTCGAGGCTCGCCCTGCCTCGAGAACAGCCTCGCGCAGAGGATCGCGCCGAGGAGCTCCAACGCCGCGATGGCCCTGTTCGGGTCGCTTACCCTGGCCCGCGCCCATGTGGGACAAGCCTTGTCCGCCTCCAACGCGCGCCAGCCGGCTCCTCGGGCGCCGCCTGGCGGCGCTGCCCGGCCGACCATCCAGCGGCGCCCCGCCTCCGCCTTCGCGCCCGAAAAAAATGCCAGGCGCTCTCGGTCTCGAACTGGACGGACGCTTCCAAAATCTACCCCCCCCGCAAGCCGCTTGCCGACGCGCGTCGGGGGGCCTGGCCGCCCAAGGCAAAGATGCCCTCATCTTGTCTGCCCGCGCGACGCGGGCGACCCGGGCGCGCGCGGGCCCCAGAGGCGGCCGCTCCCAGGCGAGGGCCGTCGCTGCGAAGACCAGGCGCCCCACGCCCGACGCCATCTCGCCCGTGCGGACGGCGCCGCGCCCGACCGTCTCCGGGCGCCTGTCCGCCACCCTCTTTACCGTCGCCTCCGAGAGGCCCACGGGGTAGGCGGCGCAGTCGCAGTGGAGGCTCGCCCAATCCGCCTCGAGGCCGCCTCGCGTCTTGGCCCGCTGCACTGGGGGCCGAATGCGCCGAGGAGGGCGGCCGCGAAGAGGGCGGCCAATCTCCCCCAGCGCCGCAAGCCGATCGCCTCCAGGTCGTCGTCGCAGGCGAGCAGTCGCCGCCTGGAAGGCAGCAGGTCGCCCGCCGCGCGGCGCCGAATCGCCTGGCCCACCGCTCCGAGGCGCCGGAGATGCCGAAGGTGCCGACGGTGTTGCAGAAAATACTCGCGGATCTTGCACGCCCCATTCGTCTTCGCGGATCTGGGCGATTGCATGACTGCCCGTGACGTCGGCGACGGGCCAGAAAATGACTTCGCGCGGGTTCCTGCGGCGAGTCAAGAGGGCGCGCCCTTGCAGGGCCGAGGCTCCGAGTTAATGTTGCGGGCCTCCCTGACATGGAGCTGAGTTTACTTGCGCGGCCACCGCCCAGTTGATGAGGAGGTTGTGGGGGGAAGAACCCACGGATGACAACCGCGATGCTTGCGATGGTGACGACGCTGGCGATGCGCTCGCGAGCTGGCGATGATGCGAGGCGACAACGTTGGCGACCATGCGCGACGGCGGCGCTGGCGAAAGACTGCAACCGACTATGGTGAATTCGATTGGATTGCAAGAGATTGGTAGCTTGGGGCGACGCACCACTCTGACACCACAATGGTGCCCCCAGGACACCGTCGAGGCGCAATCCTGACATTGTCGCGACACTGGACAAACACATGCGACCACTACTGTGGTGTAACTGTTGACTGCTGAATGCGATGGTTGGTTGCAGGCGGCGCAGCGACGCCGATGTTCGCCCCGCTCGCGCCACCGTCTCCGAGTGGACTGCGCGCCAGTGGTGCGAGCCAGCGGCGGCGCCCAAAGCACTAGCAGAGCCTAGTGCCATGGGCCCCTGCGCGCCGCCAGCGTCGACGCGAGACATGCTGGCGCCCCGACGCGGCAGCGGACTCGGCTAGGTCGCGGAAGCCAGACGCGGGCGCCCGCGAGAGCAACGCGCGACGGCCAGCTCAGAAAACCAGTGGGCGCCCGCAGGCACAGGCACCCTCGCAGCACTGGCCGGGCCTGGCGCGGCCAGCAAATGGCCCCGTGCCGGGTGCGCGACGAGGGCCCCTGCGCCGCCCGGGCGCTGGCGCGCCGCCTGCGTTGAGACCTTGGCGCAGCAGCCAAGTTCCACGTGACAAGTGCGCGGGGTGAGCGCCATTCTTGCCCGCGAAGTCTCGCGCTCTGCGCCGCCGGGCCCCGCGATGGAACAGCCCGCGCGCCGGGCGCCGCCGCGCGGGTGAACGGGGCGATCGCGATGCGAGCGCCCAATTCCAAGTCGGCGCGCAAGACGACTGACTGGTTGGCGTATTCTGTCGCGGCCAACCCATGGACCCAGCGGGCGCGCGCCGCCTTGGCGCGCGCGGCGCCGCCAGCCGCCGCTCACGTCATGGCCGCCATGTCGCCCCTGAAGAGCACCGCGGAATCGCCGCCAGATTCACAGCCGTGCCCGGAGGTTACTCGCCGCTACACGCAATAGAGAACGGCGCCCGCCCGCGTCGACGCGCGCCTGCAGGCCCCGAGCAACAAGTTCACTCACGGACAGCCGCGCCCATGTCAACCGTAGTTCGCGCCGAGCCTTTCTCGTCGGCGGGCGCCGCGCCCGCCGCCGCGGGCGCGCATTTCCTCTCCGTGCGAAGCCATGCCGCAAAACTCCATGGCCCACCAGCCTTGCGACCCGGCTTCTGCTCGCAGTGCCGCGTGGCACTGTCAGAGACTGGCGCCGCGCCCGCTGCGGACGGCGTCGCGCGCGCGTCGGCCATCTCCGCGCCCGTCAGGCCCAGGCCATCTTGCGCCGAGATTTGCCCTCGCAGGCGCCTCTCGCGCTCGGTGGGCAGCGACTCGGGCGGGGCGCCGCGCCGCAACGACAACTCCAGGGGCAAGGCGCCCGCCGTCCGTCCAAGATCGGCGACCGAAGACATCGCGGGCCAGGCGCGCCGCCAAGGAATCGGCACGCGGAGCAGCTTACGGGGCGCCGCGCGGCTCCAGTTCACGGCACGCGTCCACGCCGCAGAAGCAAGCCCGAGCGCCCCCGCTGGCGCGCCCCCACTGCGCCCGTCGCAAGAGACGACGCCCCCCCCGCGCGTCGCGACGCCATGAGACTTGCGAATGGTGAAGGCCCGAGCCAAGCGCGGCGGCAGACTCGCCCGAGACATGGGCTGCGCGGTTTCACGACGCACCTCGGCGCAGGGGGTCGGCGCCCAAGTCTCGGGCAAGTCGTCGGAGAAAGCAGCGCCGCTGCAGTCCTGAAAATGCGCGGCCACGAAGCCTAGAACAAGGCAGAGCCCCCCCCCCCAGGTGCCCAGGGGAACTCCCCCAGAGTGGAGTTCGGGCGCCCGGTGCCGGAGAGACGCTACCACCAATTCGCTCCCCGTCCGCGGGGGCGCGAAGGATGGCCGCGACCGCGCCCCAGACCCCGTTCATGGGCCTCGCGCGGGGGGCGGCGGGCACACTCCAGATGCGAATGTGCGACAGCATCGCCCTCGCCCCTGCGCAAAGGCGACGTGCCCCGCGCACCTGGCAAGAGTCATCGGCCGCTTCGCGCATGCCGCGCAGGTCGTACCGCGACTCGGTCACTATGACAACTCCCGCTGCGGTGCTCGACCTTGCCGCGCCGCGCAAAAAGCGCCCTGGCGGCCTGTTGATCTTCCCGGCAGCAGCGCGCTCTGGGGCGAGAGCCATCGCATCGTGGAGCAAGCTTTCGCCCCTTGCCAAGAGCAGTGGCTGGCGGAGCCTGGCCCGGTCTCTTGGGGCATGTAAAGCTTGTGGGTCTTCCAGGGCTCGTCGTTCTTTCTCCCTCGTGACCGCCGCATCTCGGAGTCTCGTCGTCAGCTCTGCGGAAGCATCGACGCCCTTCTGGCGATGAATGCGGCGCAGGCAAATCCCGTCGTCGACCTCGGCGAATGTCTGCCGCCATGCCGAGGCAACGGCCCTGGCGAGGAGGGCGGTCGCGCACGCGAGCGGCGACCGTGCAAATTTACCTCTGAAAACCGCCCCAACACCACCCAGTGGGCCATGTCCTCAGCAGGCGAGGCGCCATACTGCCTGCGCCACAGCACACTCGCCGCCTGCTGCATGCGGCGGCCGATGCCCTCGAGTGCACCGGCGCCCCAAGTGGGCACCTCGTCGATCACCATCAGTTCCGCGGCCTTGAGGAGGTTGACGAGCACGCCCAATCGACCCCCCACGAGATGTTCAGCCGCAGACGTGCCATTGGTGCGGAGTGGGCTCCCTATTGCAATCGCCCCGCTGCCCAGGTTAGCGGCAGCGACGCTGGCAAACGCCATGGTGGCGACTTGATCCTCCCGCGGACCTCGCCGATGGCGATCTTGGCGGCGCGCGTCTTCCCCGTGGTTGAGATCAGGACGCACCAGCTGGCGAGCAAGGCGAGCCGATGCCCGCCCCGCCGCGGCGGTGCAAAGACAGTCTGCACGGCGCGCGCGGCTGCCACAAAACAAGCGGAATCGAAGCCGCCCGGGTTCACTTCGTGGCCCGCGGGGGGCTTTTCTTCCTCTTTTGCGTCTGCGTCCTCAGCGTCTGCGAAGTCGGTGTCCGTCTCCGATCTGCCCACGGCGCTCTCCGTTAACTCTGGTGTCGCACGAGGACTCTGCGGGATTAGGACGAGAAGAATCTATTGACACAACGTGCTATTGATACGTTCCGGAGATTCCGGGATTTCTAACAGCCTTCGCGCGGGGTACACTTTGCGTCGAGTATTGTCTACTCCGGCTGGCGTCGCTGGTCGGTCACCCATTCGCAATCGAGTGGTCGCCCGTAAGGGGCTACTTGGCAGTTGCTGACCCCCCTTTTCGTTGCCGAGCGCGGGGGGGACGGCGGCGCGCCGTCCCATCGCCCGCCGCCGCGCACCGCGCGCCTCGGCGGATTCCCAAAGACCTGGCAAGGCAAATCATGCGCGACTCTGGAAAATTCTCCGGGGGTAGAATTGAACAAATCCGGGAACATGTTTGAACATGTCAGGCCGACTTTTCGAAAAATGTCAGAACCGTTTTTGAAAATTTCTGGGAACGATTTTGAAAAAATCCGGAATCCATTTTGAAGAATTCCGGATTTCAGAATTCTTCAGATGTCCTGCGCGGCGGGCGCATTCCACCCTTCAAAACTTTTTTTTAAAAAAAAATGTCCGGGCTCCTTTTGGAAAAATTCCGGAGACGCTTGCGCGAAAAAAAAAAGGCGTAAACATTTGCTGACACATTCTATAATCAGGAACTAATGTCCGGGCGGTCCGACGGGCGCGGCCGGCTGATGCACGCGCCGCGCCGCGCGCGATTGGGCGCAGCGCGCGCCGCGCGTTGCGCCCGCGAACAGCACTCGAAGGGGCTACCTCGAAAACAGCGCCACGGCAGCTGCGACTCGCGGACCCCCCAAGAGCAACACAGCATGCAGCTTGGAATCTTCGAGGGCGCTCCGATGCGCGAAAAATGCACCGCGAACATCACGCGAAGAACCTGCGCGACGGAACGCGCCCGACCATTCGTCCCTGAAGCCCGCGCGGAAGAACAGGAAAACCTGGAAATGTGGAAAACTATCAGTATCAATACTTCATCCTCCTCTGAGGGATGCCCCGCACTTGCAGCGCTATCTACCAAGAGCGGTCTCTGCAGGCGAGGGCGCTTGCCGAGATCGTCGGCGCCGTCGACTGCGCCGCCGGGCGCGCCCCCAGGCACCTCGCGGCCTGCTGCGAGTGCTCCGTTGACCCAACGTACCAAACGCTCTGCAATAACGACATTTTTGTCAGGGGTGTCCCGCCGAGTTTGGCCCGCGAGGCTGAGCATGAGGGGTGTGCTTTCTGGGGTTTCGCATGACCTTTGAAAGACTGCGGGGGGGGCCCGGCGTCGGCTCTCCCGCGCTGCGCGTGCATAGCGGAGATGTCATTCCGCGTGGGTGGCGCGGGTGGCACTGCGGCCCTTGACGCGTTTAAGGCGCGTCGTGGAGCTCTCGACGTGTCCACTGCAGGTCCTGCCGGAGGAAGGCCACCATGGTATCCCGGATCGTGTCGTTGTCTTCATCATCCAGTGTTGCCGCCTCGTTTCGCCCCTCCACGCAGTCAGAGACTGGCCGGAGCTCCTATTTGCGCCGCGCCTCGGTCGCTCCCTGGTCCAGCGCTGTCAGGGTCTCCCGCGCATTCTGCCTCCAGTCTGCGGCCTTCTCGACGATTGGGCGCTTCGCCCGGGCGATGCGGATGCCACCAGAGAACCCGGCCAAGTCATCGGCGCCTCGAAGAGTGCCTTTGCATGTCTCGCCGGGGTGGCAACGCGCCCAAAACGAATCTAGACACACCTGCGTCTCTGCACTGGACTACCGCGTTCGCCTGCGTAGACCTGCCCGCCGGGTGGGGGACGACGACGTCGGCAATCTGTTTCAGCGCCGCGCTGTCGTCGGAGAGGTCGCAGCACTGCCTCACCTCCCATCGCCCAAGCAACTCCAGGAAGAGCTGCCAGGTGTGCTCAGCCTCGCCCCTCGAGCCAGACGGGGGAGAGGCGTGAGAGACTGGCACACGCACCCTGCGAAGAACGAAGGCCCAGAACGGCTCCGCGGTCAAAATTGGAAAGCGCGGCGTCCGACGGCACCTTTCACTCCCAACGGGTCAAGTAGTGCTCCGCCTGGGACTTCTCCGCGGAGCAGACAGGTCATTTTCGGACATGAGCTCCGATGTCGTTTTAGGTCGCCTTGTTTCCGCCCTCGGGTAAAAGTCCCTGAGCTCCCGGTTGCGCGTGCACTGGGGGGGGGGGGCCGAAGATGAGATGTATGCGCTAGAGCTGCGGCATTACCTCGCTGTTCGACTGAAAGTTAAAACGGCGAAGCACAGCGGACCCTGACCCTCGGTAGTTCTCCCCTGCTTCTCGACGCACAAAGAAAAGCTGTGCTCCATGACCTGGATAGGCGCTCGAGAGCGCGACAGGAAGGAGTTACTGAAAAGGAAAAGGGATGGAGCAGGAGGAGGAAGAGGAAAGTGGAGAGGAGGAGGAGGAGGAGGAGGAGGAGGAGGAGGAGGAGGAGGAGGAGGGGGACGACGACGATCTCGAGCGGCCGGTCGGAGTCCGTGCCCGCCGCGCACTGCAGGTACTGCCACTGGTCGTCGCACGAGGGCTCCGTGGGCAGAAGCGGGAAGACCGCCTCGACGCGGTGACGTTGAGACGACCCGCCACGGCACTCCTCCGTCTCCTCCTTGGCAACCTGCCGCTGCCCCTCCTCCTGATAGTCACTGCTCCTCCGCCTCACTGTACCTCCTCCTCTTCCTCCTCCTCCTTCCTCCTCCTCCTCCTCCCTCCTCCCTCCTCCTTCCCACTCATCCTCATCCTCACCCCCCGCTCCCCCCCTTCCCCACCGTGTGAGTTTGCCCGCCTCAGTGGTGATTGCTGGGAGTGCACGCCAGATCTGATCAGATCAGAACAAGCCACATCGGAAGGGAGGACGATGCGACGGTGAGGGTGGGCACTGCATAATGGAAACAAGTTCCGATCAGAGCAACGCGAACCACGACAACGGAGACGAGGTGCGCTCACAGTCCACACCAAGCCCGTTTTGGAAATGGGGCCTGCCCTGCGAGGCTCTGGATGGGATAGTTGGCAATTGGCCCGTTCCGGAAACGCCCTAATGTTCACACCGTTTGAAGGGGGGGATGCGATTTGCTTCCGCCGCCTGCTGAAGGCGGATGCGCCCTTGTTTTCCTTCCGCCGGCAGTCCGCCAAGGAATGTATGCCAGCTTCTTCATCTCTCGAAGGCGAGGCCCTTTCTGGAACGTCCTAGTGAGAAAAATGGGAAATGACGGCAGAACCATAAACTGCCTGAGGTCCGCGCGGATCTCTGGGATCGGCCCTGGGACCCCCCTTCGTGGCGCGCGGAGTGCGCCAGGAGCGGCACTGGGGGCGCCGCCAAGGGGGGGGCCAGCGCCGATGCAAGGAAGCGTCGCGGACCTCCGCGAGTTGATGGTTGAGCCTGTGGTTGATAATTGGGCGACCTGGGAAAAGGAGGGCTAAGATAAGGAGAGGAAAGAAGAAGAAAAAGAGGCAGAGGAGGGGAAGAAGGACGAGAAAAACGAAGAGGAGAGAGGAGGAGGAGAGGGAGAAGGAGGAGGAGGAGGAGGAGGAGGAGGAGGGAGAAGAAAAGAGGGAGGAGGACAGATGAGGAGGAGGAGGAGGAGGAAGAGGAGGAGGAGGAGGAGGAGGAACGGAGAGGGAGACGAGGAGGAGGAGGAGGAGGAGGAGGAGGAGGAAAGGAGAGGGAGACGAGGAGGAGGGGGAGGAGGAGGAGGAGGAGGAGGAGGAGGAGGAGGAGGAGGAGGAGCAGGAGGAAAGGGAGGAGGACGAGGACGAGGAGGACGGCAGAGGATGAGGAAGGAGGATGGAGGAGGGCCGATGCCCCACCACGTAAAGGCCCAGCGCGAGCAGGACGCCGTAGTGGGCGCGGAGACTTCGCCGGCCCAGCACCGCGGCGGTCAGCAGACAGCCTCGGAGGAGCCCCCCCCTTCGCCCCTCCGGCGGCTGCAGCAAAATGGGCAGGAGGAGGAGGAGGAGGAGAAGGAGGAGGGCTCGAGGGCTCGAGGCCGATGCGCACAGGTCTGGAGACTAGCGGGCAGGCCAAAGGAAGTCAGGAGTGCCCGAGCTGGCGCAGGCCAGCCCGAGCACCTCGCAAGTCACTGGGACAGGCGGGGACTGGAGGGGGCCAATCCACATTTGTCGGGCACCCGAGCGGCGTTGCACAGGCTGCAGGAGGAGGAGGAGGAGGAGGAGGAGGAGGAGGAGGAGGAGGAGGAGGAGGAGGCGGAGGAGGAGGAGGAGGAGGAGGAGGAGGAGGAGAGGGAGGAGGAGGAGGAGGAGGGAGGAGGAGAGGGAGGAGGAGGAGGAGGAGGAGGAGGAGGATTTTTTCCAGCCGACACCGCCCTACAGGTGACATGAGGGAAAGAAAAAAAGATATGGCCGTGGGACTCACGAATCCATATCGGGCATGGGCTCGACGCTAACCCCTTTGAGCTTAGGGTGATGCCCACGCTGCGTGAGCCGCCAGCGGTCCCAGTCATTACGGCCAGTCTTGGCGGGATCACATTGGCGGCTAAGCCGCAGCACTCTGCCGAGACAAGTGTAAGCTTTACACCTGACGCAAACGAAGAGTGGCGACTCGTCACTGCACTGCAACGCAAACATGCGGTGACCCAAATTCGAAATCAGTTGCACAGCAGGCGGAGGCTCACCGCGGCATCCTGCCAAGGAAGGTCGCTCAGCGCAGCGACGAAAACGGAGACAGCACATGCACCGCCAGATACCGCGATACCATTCCCATTGGTGGTCGAAGCGAGGCTCAAGCGAAGGAGGAGGTGGCATGGGAATGGCACGCTGCACTTCACTGAGATCTAACTTCGGCCAGCTGGGTAAAACCGCGGCGGCAACTCTACATACAGCACGGGCGCAGGCAACTGTTCGATCTATCTGCGCCATCTCGTCCGCACTGGCCTGCGGGTGGAGAGACGCTCCATTCTTCGCAGCTCTGTCAGCCGCGTCGCTGCCAAGCTTGAAAAAATCCTCCTCCGTCATGTCGGCAGATTCGACAGTATGAGCCTTTACTTTCCTCACAGCACGCCAAAAATTGGAGGAAGCAAATACAGCACTGCCAGAATATTTTTCTTGTATGAGAAACGCACAGCTCTTGGAACAGAGTGGGCCCTAACGACCCCTTCGCAATCCGCGTAGCCCGTTGTGGGCCCCTCCAAGCACTAAGCTGTAGCTGCATACGCGCTGTACTCCCCAGCCTGAGAGGTCTGGGGAAAGGGCTTGGACACCGCCCCCGAGACTGAAACAATAACTTCTCCTAGATGGTCCACAGAAACGAAGCCCCAGCCAGCCCTTTACAGCTCCTTGATGACATGCTTGTAGGACGAACCGTCCCAGAAAACATCACCAGAAACGCCAACGGCTCCAGGCATGGACCCAGGACCACCAGCAAAAACGTGGACGATATTTCCAGCCTCCGAGGGCCTCGGCAACCAGTCCCCTGGGTGAAGGAAGATACCCCTGGAAAATACAATCTTTTCACTGTCAGTGCCCTCGCCAATAACACGAAGGGCGTCTTGCGCAATGGCAGCGTCACAGGCCTCCTGGCGCTGTTCGGCGACGCTCGGGCACTGCCAAAGTCGATGCAGCAAACTATCAGGAGCAGCGCCGCAAAGCTGGCACATATTGTCTTGAAGCAGGTACCCGCGCTCGATGGCGCGGTCCTTAGTCCAAGCGCCATCGCAGGCGATCATCCTGATCACTCCACGATCGCGCGGCTTGTGAGCCGAGCGGCGCAACTCTGAGGCCACGACGTCAAAGCACATCCTCCCACTCCCTATCTTGTCGCCCACCGCCCTCTGGTGCGAGCGAGGAGGAGGAGGAGGAGGAGGAGGAGGAGGAGGAGGAGGAGGAGGAGGAGGAGGAGGAGGAGGAGGAGGAGGAGGAGGAGGAGTGGGAGGAGGAGGAGAGGAGGACGAACAGGAGGAGGAGGAGGCGGAGGAGGAGGAGGAGGAGGAGGAGGAGGAACGAGAGAGAGGAGGAGGAGGAGGAGGAGGAGGAGGAGGAGGAGGAGGAGACGACGACGACGACGAGGAGAAGGAGTGGGAGGGAGGAGAGGAACGGGTAGGAGGAGGAGGAGGGAGGAGGAGGCGGAGGAGGAGGAGGAGAGAGAGGAGGAGGAGGAGGAGGAGGAGGAGGAGGAGGAGGAGGAGGAGGAGGACGACGACGACGACGACGAGGAGGAGTGGGGGGGAGGAGGAGAAAGGATAGGATGATGATGATGAGGAGGAGGAGGAGGAGGAGCAGCAGGAGCAGCAGCAGCAGCAGTAGGCCAGGACGAGCGGCGGCGGCAACGCCCGGCGAGGGCCGGGAGCGGCAGCCGCGGCACGGCTGGCGGCAGCACGCAGCGGCCGCCTCTCTTCACGACGCGCGCCTGGGCATCAGCGCTCCACGGATCGGGGAATACACTCCTGAGGCATGGTGCGAATACCGCCTGATCTGTCGACGAAGGGCGCCGATTCCGCACGCAAGCGGGCCGTCTCTAATCCACGCGCCGGAATCCCTGTTCGCGCTTATTCGAGACAGGGAGGGACTGGCTCGAGGCGTGGACGTCGACCTGGAATCGGCGCTACGTCGCCGATGGATCGGCGCTGGGCTCTCGACAGCGAAACCGCCAATTTCTGGGCAGGGAGGGCTATCACGAGAGCAGTTGTGATGAATGGGCGGCTGGAGGAGGAGGAGGACGAGGAGGAGGAGGAGGAGGAGGAGGGATCACTACATGTGCGCGGGCATAATTTCTCGGCGTGGGCGCTGTTCGAAGCGGCGAGAGCGGAGAAAACACCGGGTCCTCCCTCCACCCTCCTTCCTCCTTCATCCCTCCTACCTCGTCCATTCCTACCTCCTCCCCCCTCCCTCCCTCCCTCCTCCCCCCTCCAGCTTCACACCACGGGTCCCTCCTCAGCACTTCGCCGTCTGCATGCCGCGTCAGGACGTGGGAGGCCTGCTCCCCTCCTCCCCCCCCTCGCCCTCCTCCCCTCCCTCTGAGGAGGCGGCCCGCCAGCACCGCGAGGGCCTCCGCGGCCAGGCTCCCGAGCGTGGCGGCCGCGCTCTGCGGCACCTCGCCCCCGCGCCAGAGCCACGGGCACCTCTGCCCCCTGGGCGCAGGGGGGGGATCGCATCGGATCGGCTGTCCGCACTTCTGGCACAGTCGAGATCGATTGGAGAGGACACGCGAGAGGACACAAAGACCCTCCCGAGGGCCACACTGCCATAGGAGTGTAGACAGCATGGGTCGCGAAGCACCGGACACGAGGGTACCCTCGACGTGGCAGGGTCAAACCTACTAATCAGACTCGACCGCAGGTGGGTCTCTCGAGCTCTCCGCCGCCTCTGGCGGTGTGCGCTGCGAGCAGGAGCACAGCAGAACCGCAGGAGAAAGCGCGGCCTTCGCTCCCCCGATACGCAAAACGCAACACGCATCGTACTGATACGGAGCCCAACACGTAGGCTGAAATCGTAGGTCCGACGCGATACGCTCGCCCAAACGTGGTCCAATACGTGGAGCGAACGCGCAGCGTATTGACACGGACGTCTTGAACACGGGACGTGTTGCGTTTCAAAACGGGCGTATCGAGGCAACTACAGTCGGGGCGTTGACCTAAGGAACCCTAAATAAGGAACGAGGCCCCTTTTTTCCATAAGTTAACCTCCGGTTTCCTGTCGAAAACCTAAGGAAAGCCTGAGGCAAGCTGTGAAACACTTAAGGAACGCGGAGCCCCTCCCCAACGTAAAGGGTTCCTTCTCCAGGGCCCCGACTGTAAGAGCGCGGCACACACGTGACGAATGCTCACGAGCAGGAACGCCGCAGAGCCCCCTGGGCGCAGAGGGGGGGATCGCACCGGATCGGATGTCCGCTGAAGCGCCCACACGGGGCCCTCAGCTATGGGGGGGGGGGGTGCAGCACCGCTTGGCACGGCAGCCCACGAGAGGGGGGGGGGGAAGGAGGGACGAGGGCGGGAGCAACCCCGATAGTGAGGATGCGCGACAAGGATGCAGGGGCCTTGGACGCCCATTTCGAAGCTTTTCGAGCGGGGCGCGGCAAGCGAAAGCGGCGAAGGATGGACCGAGGAGGCGAGGATGCAAGGGTACCCTTGGGGAGGTTGCCCATCCTGACTATCATGGTTGACTGTAGGGGCCAAAGCCTCCTCCAGCCCTGAAGCACCGGCCATGTTCGGCCTCATGGGGCCCTCACTGGGCCCCCAGAGCCGTTAGAGGACGGCTCAGGTCCACAGTGTAGACGAAAACTCGTCGCAGGTCTGGGGAGGGAGAGGAAGGGAGGGAGGAGGGATGATGGAGGGAGGAGGGCGAAGGCGCCGGCAGTGAGGCCTGGAGGGACGAGGATGAAGAAGCTGGCAGTGAGGAAGATCGATCCTCGACCCTTGAATCTCGGTCCTCCGTCGTCGCCCTTCTCTGGCCTCCTCCTCCTCCTCCTCCTCCCTCGCCATCGCTCGGACGTCCATTCCCCGTGCATGTTTCGAGGAACGAGAGGAGGAGGAGGAGGAGGAGGAGGAGGAGGAGGAGGAGGAGGAGGAGGAGGAGGAGGAGGAGGAGGAGGAGGAGGAGGAGGAGGGGTGTGTGGGTTTTCGGGGAGGTGTGTGGGTTTCTTGAGATAATACCGCTCCCAATTGCAGTTCGGATTAGTGTGTCGTGTGGCGATGAGAAGCCGATTCGGAACTCTCAGGCTGCCCATCCTTCGCGATCTGAAGTTTCGGAATCATGAGTTTTGACAGTCTGAGTTCCTTGACTGTGTCTTCGTGCCGCCGTTCAGGTTGGTCGGCGGTCGTTCAGGGAAGTTAGAGAAAGCAGTTTGGATGTCGCTTGAAACGGTCATCATGCAGCCTGCGATATTAACCTCAAGCCCTGTACTTTCTCGCGAATGTCATCACAATTTCCAGGACTGACACTACACTCTTTTTGAACCACACCTCGACTCATTCCGACCTCTTTCGGATAATGATTACGAGTGTAAGCAAACACCGTCCCCGGAAAGGGGTCAATAGCCCCAGGAGCTACCATTCGCAGAACACATCGGAGGTCTGGGGGTGAGGGTGATGTATAAGGAGACCCCCTCTACTCCCTCCTCCTCCTCTGAATCGCTTGTCCTGTTTCCTCTCTCCCCCTCCTCCTTCTTCTCCTCCTTCTCCTCCTCCCCCTCCGGCACCTCCTCTTCCTCCGCTCCTCCGCCTCCTCACTATCATCATCACCAGCATCAGCATCCTTATCCTCATCCTCATCCTCATCCTTCTCCCGTTCCAGCTCCCTGTGAACTCCTCGCGCGAGGGGGGGGCGGGATGAGGAGAACAATGAGAAAGGAGGAGGATGAGGAGATGAGGCTGTGGACGAGGAGGAGGAGGAGGCGGAGGAGGAGGAGGAGGGTGAGAAACCAGACCAGGTGTTTGTGTCGTTGTTTGCTCTGTTCTGCCCACTTGCGCGAAAGGAGTATCCAGCAAAGGAGCTGTTCGCAACTCGCAAGGCCTACCGCGCACTGTGCACACAATAAGAGATCAGTCCAGGCGAGGAGGAGGGCTGATGAGAACGGCGATGTGCTGCCCTTGGCCCTTCTTGGGCCTCCAGTGGCTCCAGTGGCCCCTGAGGTTAGGAGGAGGAGGTAGGACAAGGGGGAGGGGGCAGGAGGAGGAGCAAAAGGGGGAGAGCAGAAGGATTGCGAAGAGCATCAAAGGAAGGAGGAGCAGGAGCCGGAGCAGAAGCGGCTGGAAGAGCAAGGACCACGCCCGTCATTTGCCAGCCGAGCCCGGGCCGCCCATCGAAGCCGCGGTGGCTGAGCTCGATCAGCCTGGGGGCACCCAGAATGAAAAAACTTGCGAAGGCAAGTGCTCAGAGCCGCTATCTGCTCAGGGAGCCCCACCCTGCCGAACTGACCCGCTTCCTCCTCCTCCTCCTCCTCCTCCTCCTCTTCCTCTTCCTCCTCCTCCTCCTCCTCCTCCTCCAACTTCACCACTGTGCGAGGCAGGCGGGGGGACCCACGGCCGCGCGAGCTGCAGGACGAGAGCGGAGCAGGGGGAGAGGAGAAAGCGGACCGGTTGAGATCCAGCGCGGCGGCAACACGAAAGGGGCCTTAGGACTTTTTGGTCGGCGGGTCGAGAGCGGGCCTCTTCCGGTTAAGAGCTAGGCGGGGCGCGCGAAGCACTAATTGGGGAGACAGGGCGCGGGCGGGCGGGGCCTCAGGCGGCCGGAGGGCGCGGGGAGCAGGCAGTGCCGAAGAGCTTGCACAGGAGAAGGCACGCCATGGACAGGGGCCGGAGGCGAAGTCCCGGAGGGAGAGCGAAGTGGTGTTGCCAAATCTTCCCACAATTTCTAGGTCCCCGCCTTCCCCCCCCACTTCCCAGATTCTCCCGTGTTTTCCTGGGAGTGGGCGATTGATTGTGCCTGTGTGTTTCTGTCCCTCCTGGAACACACCCTTCTGCCTCAATCCTCCTCCTCATCGTACATGCTCCATGGGCCCGTCGCCGGTTCAGGACCTGGCAGATCTGGAGAGACATGGCTGCATGAAAGCGCGAGGCTCAGAGTAGAGCGCCTGCTGACTGCCGAGGGGCGTTTTTCTGCAGTGTGCTGGGCCTCGAGACGGCCCCACGCCCCACGACGCCCAAAGACGTGTCAAAACCAGCTGCCATACGTCCGAAGACACGCCCAGCACGGAACTCAGCTTCACTCTCCCCCCCACAAAGGACTCCAGCGAGGCCCCAAGAGCCCCTTAATCGTAGCATGTGGTTTTCCTAACCATCGTGCGGTGTTCTGTCCTCGTTTGAAAGAGACAGCACCTCGCGTCACTCCTTCATCTGCCCTCCGCATGTCCATGCCCGTGCATTCCTCACGAGGTTCGTGGCCCCACAGGGAGCTCCAGCGAAGCCCCCAGAGGGGGAGGGGAACGCGTGCGGTCCCCCAACCATGTCAGCACACCCCTCATACGTTTCGTGGCCCCAGGGGGGGGGATACCGCATGCGGTCCCCAAGCCCATTTCGGTGCACCCCTCGCGCGCTTCGTGGCCCCAGAGGGGGCTCCAACGAAAGTCCCAGGTGTTCAGTTCGCATACGTCTCCCCCGCCCGTGTCGGCATACCCCTCACGCGATTCGTGGCAGCATATGGGTCCCCACCAACGGTAACAGTGGCACAATTCTCATCCCAGCACATTTCGGCATACCCCTCACACGCTTCGTGGCCCCATAGGGAGCTCCACCGGAGGTCCCAATGGCATATGTCGAACGCATCGTTTCCCGCACCGATGTCTGCAAAACCCTCACTCGTTCAGTGGCCTCATATGGACATCCACCAAAAGTGGTACCCCAAATGCGGCACTCACAATTGCATGTGGATGTGCCCTTCGCCAAGGTATTACTTTGTCATATACAAGCATGGGGTTGTCGACTCTATCAATCGTCAAGTAGCCGATGTAAAACTTCCGAGAGCCCAAGTAAGCTCCCAAGCCAACCCGAAGCTGGCCCAAGCGGGTTCCAAGACTGCAATGGGACTGGCCGAACCATGAAGACGTCCGAGTCCAAGATGGCCCCGAGATCAACACACGCGTCTCTAAGATGGCTCATCTGGGCTGCTTCAGGAGACAATTAAAACCATCATACCAATGGCAGGTTCGAGACACCCCACGGGCCAGCAGCGGACCTGGTCCCAAAAGAAACTCAAAGAGGCTCCACATAAGCGCCCAGGAGGTCTTCAATTCGCCTTGAAGAACGCGAGGGGAGGAACAGGGGAGGAGGAAAAATATACCATGAGGGGGAGAAGGATAACGAGGCTGCCAACAAGCATCTGGTGTCTTCGTTTTCAAGAAACCAAAAAAAAACAGACCTCGAGCGGGATTTCAGCTCAACATCCTCCATGCTGCCCTGCTGCACTGCTGCGGTGGCACGGTTTTGTTGGGGAAGCACGGAGCAGTGTGCTTTTACCGCCATGCCACAGGTTCAAGACCTGGTGGACTGGAAGGGCGAGCATCCCTCCGCCCTGCCACAAGGACTGGCCATGGGAAGATCAGAGCTGTGAGTAACCTTGTGGATGCTTGCGCTTGGCTGCGCGAACCGATGTTCACGCAACAAATCGGCAGCGCCATGTGGCCAGACAGAATGCGTTCGAGACGGCACCACTCTCCATTCGTTCAGCTGCCGGGCACGCTCAAGCGGACTATCCACGGAATCGCAACGAGTTAGCTTTGAATGAAAGCCTCCTGCACTTTCTCGAGCGCGCGCGCTAGTACAGTTTGGCCTTGCAATATTATCACGATATTCTCTCAGAACTACCTATGACCTATGCAACCACAAAAAGAAGCTGCCAGAATTGTCCTTGCTGCATCCGACGTGTTAGCCCCTCCCCGATGCCATGTCGTCGACTGCATCAGGAGCATATCGCCCGAGTACAGCGGGCCGAACCAGACTGCACTGGAGCTCTGAGATCCCAGCCCATTGGACATCGCAACGGCTGAAGCTGGAGGAACCCACTGACCGTCCGGAAAGCAACGGGGGTGATGTGTGTTCGGCACAAACCAGGTCGGCCCCTGATCCTCAGCGAGAATGTCGTGAAGCGGAATGAACATCGTGATCATGAGCGCATCTTCTTGTGAGTGAGACTCTGCACATGGGATCGGAAACTCCGCATCACTATGCATGTTCTGCCCTTCGCAACCTGGCTCAGCCACAATCACCGTGAGCTCGGTGAGTTTCACCTCATCACTGTTACAGCACCCTAATGTTGAAACCACAGTCGCCCCCGCAGGCGAGGACAGAACTGATGTCAGGAGGGCCCGGATGTTAGCAGAGATCGGCATCACAAAGTCGCGACGGTGGGTGAAGCTGGTAGTGGCATTATGTGATGCGTCCGAACTTGAACCGCATACAGAATAGCGCATGAACTGCCGCTTCTGCTTCGCAGCGCTCATCGGTCCTGGAAGAGCGAGGTACCTCTCCAGGTTCGTCTGCGTTTCCTCCAGACAGCTCTTCACCAACTGTCTGTCTCTGCCATCCCCGCGAATCACGCATACTCCCGAATCTCGAAGGCCAAGATCGATGAGCCCGCTCTGCAATGCATCTTCCAACTCTCCTTGCTGGACGAAGTCCGACACGGAGAGGCCAAGTACATGGTCAAAACAGTGACACTTAACCATTATTGCGGCAAGAACTCACGGCAATAGGAGAACTGCCCGCCAGCCTCTGCCAGACCAACGCTACCTTGTGATGGCGCAGTGAAGGTGCAGACCAGAGTGCCCAGAGCGTGCTATGTTTGCTCAATCTGTAACATGCCCTGGGACCTCTCGTTGGCTCTCAGCCCACGTCTTGAGCTCACATGGTTACGGACATGTGAGCTACTGGCAGATCCTGAGTACCAGTGAAACTGTCATAGGCCAGGTACCCAGGCCAAGAGTTGCGTGGTTCGTTGCCGCTTCCCCTGGTTCCTGGGCCCTCGGGCATCTGTTTCAGGGGCCCTGGGCGCTACGCCATGTCATGCTACGTCATGGTATGTTGCCATCCCGTACGCTGGATACACAACCCCATGCACTGCCGTACTCTGCTACACCTCAAAAATCATCCTTCGGGTGGCCTTCGGCTAGCGATTCGCTTTGCGCTGGGTTGGCAATCTAGCTAACTACCTGTCGATCGAGACATCCTCCGGTCCTGCGAATCAGCAAACCATCTATGAAGAAACACCTGGGACGGCTCCTCTGCCCAACGCAGTGCATCATTCACCACATGGGCCTGACTGTTGATGACGACGGGTGTGCTGAGTGATTTGGCGCAGCTGCACCACTTCGAACCGCCGCGTTTAAAACATGTGACCAACACGTGTCACAACACAATCGGCGACCCGCTTTTTTACAAGCACAGCCATTCGTGCTACATCTATCTCTATGTGCACAAAACACATCTGACTTGCATGCAGGTTTGCACGCGGATCCGTCGTAACATGTACCTATATACAAGCGGCACGTGTGTGCCCAGGCACATACAAACAAAAACTGAAAGGGCGTTTGAAGCAGGAAGACACCATGACGGTGGGATCGGAGATGGAGAAAGGGAAGCTGGGGCGGCGCCGTCAGGGCGTGCCAGGCCCCAGGATTGTGAGTGTTGTGTGGGTGTGTGTGTGATGTGTGCTCTGTGTTGTGCGTGTTTTCTGTGCGTTGTAGGTGTTGTGTGTGTGTCATGTTTGTCTAGCGTGTGATGTGTTGGGTGTGATGTGTGTCTCTGTGTGTGCATGTCGTTCTGAGACCCCAGGAGGCCCCAGGAGGCCCCAGGCGGCCTCAAGAGGCCCCAGGAGGAGACCACATGAGGCTCCAGGAGGCCCCATGAGGCTCCAGGAGGCCGCAGGAGGCTCCAGGAGTCCCCAGGAGGTTGCAGGAGACCCCCAGGAGGCTCCGAGGCGGGATCTGGGGTACCAGAAGGTACAGAAAGCCCCAGGAGGCCCCAGGAGGTTCCAGGAGGCCCCCAGGAGGCTCCGAGGCGGGATCTGGGGTACCAGAAGGTACGTAGGGGGGCGTGTTTTTTGGAGGATGCCAGAGGCGAAATCGCCATTCTCTGAGAATCAATGTCAAAATCATTGAATCTATAATATGTGTTTGAAGGTTTTTATGTTAGAATGTTGAAATTCCCATGTGTTGTTGGACCCTGACGTCACGATCTGTGTGAGGGGTGCCACCGATTTTCAGAATATCGAGGATGCCCCTAGCGAAACGGCCAGAACAATCGCGAACGACGCGGCGCGTACGCATTAATCGCCTCTGAGCTCTACTCCCTCGGAGAGGTGCGTATGATACTATATATATACACATATCTGTAGATA